CCATCTAAATGACTGTGGACCGCCTCCGTGGTGTAGTGGTTAGAGCGTCCGCCCGGAGAGCGGAAGGTCGCGGGTGCGATCCCCGACCGCGTCATACCAAAAGACGTTAAAATATACTTGTTGGTCCCTGCCTGGCGCTCGGCGTTAATGGGTACATCAAGACCTGGTCGGCTCGGAGTAAGTATAATGTGTCGGAGTGGGGTATTGATGCTTCACTGCGGCATGGTATCTCAGTGGGCTAGCACTATAAAACCAGCTTCAGTCTGGGCTAGTACAAGCAGCCGCACATACACATACACACGCTAGTCTGTCTCACAGTCCCTGAACCACATTATTTCCCCCACTGCCAAGCTCTCTCTGCAGTGCTAAAGCCCTAAATAAAGCAAGTCTAGATTTCCTCTCCTGGGGCTCCTTTTCAATTTAAATGGGCTTGTTTGTTACTATCAAAATTATGTATATTCAGAGACTAAGCATTAGTCTAATACACACGCATGCACGTCGTCATATGAACGAAATATTCTCAAGCACGACGTTAAACCCAATTTCACCTCACCTCACCTAAATGACTGTTGGAAGTAAGTGGGCGAGGTTGGTCTCAGACGTTCAACACTTTGGTAAGCACGGTGCTGGCAAATCTAGAAACATAATCGGACCGAACTGGGACTTGAACCGTCCATATGTTTTGTCGTGCCCGAGGGATGCATGCATACACCTTCGCTAAGCTAATTGCGGCGCCTTTTTATCTTTTTGCAAGAAAGACTCCATCTTTTATTACACAAGGTATTTCTGTTTTAAATTTTCCAACGTTGTTAGTGAAATATAGTTGGACTGGCCATTTTTTGATGATTTTGACTAGCTTCGATTACTTGCAAATATTCCCAGGGCCTGCAAATGTTAGTGCAGGACTGGGGAAAACTCCCGACACATTTACAACAAATTCCTAGATGATAAAGGCGACAAAACCCTTTGCATAATCACCAGGAATGTTAAGCAAAAAAGCAAAAACATTACATTGATTTTTTGGCGTTGTTTCTTCTGTAGAACACGTGGCTGTGCACTCTGGACTCACAATAGCGTATTGAGCGATTAATCTCACGTACATCACGAAACATAATGGCCACTATGGAGAGAGTGACTTCTCAGAGCAACTGAAGGAGCTGGGCATAGCAGGGTGTGCCATGAGGTGTTTAACGACTACATCTGCAGGTGTGATTAGAACATCCAGCTTCACATTCACACTGTGTTTATGGCCATGATAGAGTACAGACGTTAACCTTACCAGGGCCCCGTCCCACAAAGCGATCTTAGCGCTAAGTCTACCCCACCTCCCTTTCTATAAAACTAACGCCAAGGTCGTTTTGTGAAACCGTCCCGGGGCCTACCACTGCATTGGTATTGGCGATAAGAATCTAGAAACATTGTATCCTAATTGCGTAGATCGATGCTCATGCTGTTGAACACTGGATTGTCTGGTCCAGACTCGATTATTTACAGACCGCCGCCATATTGCTGGAATATTGCTGAGTGCGGCGTAAAACTAAACTCACCCACTCACTCACTAGAAACAAACAAATACTGGACGTATTCGTTCATAATATGGTCTGTCTTCTTTGGACGTACAAGCCCTGCCAATAATCTGTTACGAAAAAAACAGACACCTTCCAAATGATTTTACCAAGTTCCGACATCCCGTCGTTTAGCTATCATGTAAAGCATACATGTTTCCCTCATTGGATCAGAAACTAGACATACTTAAATATGATCTCTTGCACAATGGCGGAAAACCAGTTTTATTACATGAGTTCAAAGTTTGGTTTCTGCTTATCTCCACAGCAGCACATTTAGTCATTCCGTGAAGCAGACGACGAGGCTGAGTTTCCCGCCAGACACCTGGGGGAGCAGACGTCAGACAGTAATTACCACTAGCGACGTCTGCAACTGTTGGGGTCACCGAGTGCATGCGCAGATATGTGGCGGTTTGTTTGTGATATGATATACATGTACATGTGCATAGGTGCGTACGTGTTGATTACATAAGTGAAGTGTTTGGAATTGGTTTCGTTTGTTTGCGTCTGAAATAACCAGATAGATAGCGATGTAGGCGTGAATAGTGTTACAAATGAGTTCTTTGCATATAATATGTATGTATAGTAATGAAGGACTATTTTTATCGCCAAATCTGAATCGATATTTGAAAGAATAATCTTATTTTGCAATGACTATCCTATCGAGCGAACTGTTTTGCCGGAACTACTTTCACGATGGTATTTAGAGCAAGACGGTGAAGGTCATTTCGCAACCTGGTACATTTAGTATGATCCACCATATTCTTATGTTTAATCGTAGATCTGAGGGAACGATCGTGTATTTTAGTGTGGGTGAAGTTATGTAGGAACTTGTGTTCATATCCAGATACATAGCAGAGATTATTGATTTCGTATATATGTGTGTGTGAGCGTGTTTGCGCCAAATGTGAATCGATATTTGTGAGAGACGTGTGTTTTGCCGGAACTATGATAGACCGAAAACACCACCCAACTACGTTTAGTATGATCCACCATACTCTTATGTTTAATCGTAGATCTGAGGGAACGATCGTGTATTTTAGTGTGGGTGAAGTTATGTAGGAACTTGTGTTCATATCTACATAGATTATTGATTTCGTATATTGCGTGTGAGCGTGTGTGCGTGAGAGCGTGTGTGTATGATAGACTGAAAACACCACCCTCTACGTTCAGGTTATATACACAAAGGACATATGACTGGCTGTATAAGCTATCCTGGAAATGCTCGTTACAACAACAATAAACATACGTGGATCTCCTACACGTCAATATTTCTACAGCAATCGAGAAACAAAGTAGTGTGCCAGGTACAGTGTTTGGTTCAGTGCGTGGTACAGTGCGTGGTACAGTGTTTGGTACAGTGTTTGGTACAGTGCGTGGTACAGTGTGTGGTACAGGGAGTGGTACAGTGCGTAGTAGAGTGTGTGGTACAGTGTGTGGTACAATGTGAGGTACAGTATGTGGTACAGTGCGTGGTGCCCTGTATGGTACAGTGCGTGGTACAGTGTGTGGTACAGTGCGTGGTGTCCTGTGTGGTACAGTGCGTAGTGCCCTGTGTGGTACAGTGCGTGGTAAAGTGTGTGGTACAGTGCGTGGTGCCGTGTGTGGTACAGTGCGTGGTACAGTGTGTGGTACAGTGCGTGGTGTGGTACAGTGTGTGGTACAGTGCGTGGTCCCCTGTGGTACAGTGCGTGGTACAGTGCGTGGTGCCGTGCGTGGTACAGTGTGTGCGTAGTGCCCTGTGGTGGTACAGTGCGGTACAGTGCGTGGTACAGTGTGTGGTACAGTGGTACAGTGGTGCCGTGTGTGGTACAGTCGTGGTACAGTGTGTGGTACAGGGGAGCGGTACAGTGCGTAGTATAGTATAGTGTGTGGTACAATGGGTACAGTGTGTGGTGGTACAGTAAATGCGTGGTACAGTGTGTGGTGCCGTGCCTGGTGCCGTGTGTGGTACAGTGTGTGGTACAGTGCGTGGTGCCAGTGTGTGGTACAGTGCATGTGCCGTGCGTGGTACAGTGCGTGGTGCCGTGTGGTACAGTTCGTGTGCGTGGTACAGTGCCATGGTGCCATGTGCGGTATTATTGCATGCGTGGTACAGTGCATGGTGCCGTGCGTGGTACAGTGCATGGTGCCGTGCGTGGTACAGTGCATGGTGCCATGCGTGGTGCCATGCGTGGTACAGTGCATGGTGCCATGCGTGGTGCCATGCGTGGTACAGGCATTGTGCCATGCGTGGTACAGTGCATGGTGCCATGCGTGGTACAGTGCATGGTGCCGTGCGTGGGTGGTGGGAGCATGCGTGGTACAGGGGTAGTGGCATGCAGGGCAGGAGGGTACAGGAGGGTACAGGTGCCATGCGTGGTACAGGGGTGGCAGGAGTGGTGTCATGCGTGGTACAGGGAATGGTACAGGAGCGGTGCCGTGCGTGGTGCCGTGCATGGTGCCATGCGTGGTACAGGAGTGGTACAGGGAGCGGTGCCGTGCGTGGTGCCGTGCATGGTGCCGTGCGTAGTACAGGAGTGGTACAGGAGCGTGGTACAGTGCGTGGTGCCGTGCGTGGTACAGTGCGTGGTACAGGGGAGTGGTACGGGGAGCGGTACAGTGCGTGGTACATTGGAGTGGTACGGGGAGCGGTACAGGGAGCGGTACAGTGCGTGGTAGAGGAGTGGTACGGGGAGTACAGGAGGACAGTGGTACGGGGGAGCGGTACAGTGCGTGGTACGGGGAGTGGTACGGGGGCAGCGGTACAGGGTGCGGTACAGTGCGTGGTACAGGGAGTGGTACAGGGAGTGGTACGGGGAGCGGTACAGGGAGCGGTACAGTGCGTGGTACAGGGAGCGTTACAGTGCGTGGTACAGGGAGGGGTACAGGGAGTGGTACAGGGAGTGGTACAGGGAGGGGTACAGGGAGTGGTACAGGGAGTGGTACAGGGAGGGGTACAGGGAGGGGTACAGGGAGTGGTACAGGGAGTGGTAAGATGCTGTTGTTGCTGCAGTCCAAGGATGTTTTTTTCTGCCAGATCACATTCGAGCTTGTTTCCTAGGTGAACCCAGTCGGGCACAAAATATTGACGTGTTTCCCTGATCAAAATCATGTTTCAAACAAACCTCTTGAGTAAAAGCGTTTCGGTTTCCGAAGCTCCGTCAGTCTTGAAGAAAACACACAATGGAATCTGAAATAATTACGTCATGCTCAGAACCACCGTTTCTGTAACACGATAAACTAGGTACAGTAATCCTCACACTTGATTTAACACATTTAAAGATCACTTCATTCAATTACACATAAAGCGTAAGGGCCACGTAAAACCAACTTAACAAATCCAACATTAATTCACAACCTATTCACATTTCTCAAATATATTTTTTTTTAGATACGACGTGGCACACAAGTGCAACTGGCATGAATATTTGAGCGTGTCGCCTCAACGCCTCCCTGCTCTCAATTCCATTGGGTCATTATCCGGCGCGTGAGTGGCACGCGCTGTCGGGTGGGCTTGAACGCGTCGATATTGAACCCGAGATTACCGCGGACTTGAGGAATGAGAGCAACGACCTAGATGGCAACAACTGCACTATACCGCCAGACAGACGCATCGATTTATACCCGCCAGACCGGTATGTAAATTAATACCATATTTAGACGCCCTTGTGTTTATTTACGTTTCGGTCTCCCCAACACGGAATAGCAAGGCAGTGGCCACGCCCATCACTTCATGGGGCAACTTGAACCGTTTCGATGTGAAAGAAAAGATACTGTTAGTAAAACAAACACAAGCCAGCAAATACCCTGGAAAAATATAATCTCTCAAATTTATGTAAATACGTTTTGTTTTAGAGATATGGAATGGTATATTTGAACCACTTCACTGCTGTTCAGTTGGTGTAGATCGACCTATATCTGAACATTAACCGTATTAGTGGATATCATTGTCAATTCTGTTCGCCTAACAACTTGTACATATTGACGCGACTGCAAGCATTTGTTTCGTTCAAAGCTGGCTCTGATCACGGAGCCCAGTCTGTTTGTGTATACCTTCAGCGTTATCGTCACCGACAAGTTCTTCTGTCGACAAATCCCGCTACCTGCCCACGTTAGGGGAATCCCCTCACCCAACACTTCGGTTCGAGAGTAGTACACAAATAGCGCTTGGGTATGCATATATTTGTCAGGTATCACAACAGCGCGTTACTCAAAATGGAATCTTTGCAATCAGCTGGTCCGACACGTCAGGTACGAAGACGACCAGGGACACGGGGACTGGACAAACGGGTGGTCAGTGCGGCAAGGGAGGCGATACAGAGCGGCTCCCTCATCCCACTAATAAAGGAGGAGCTGTGGTGTAAGATCCAGTCCAGGCGTCTATCGGAGGGACAGGGGGGAATTAACGCTGCTTCCAACACCCCCAGTCACATCCAAGGTAGGCAGACTCGTTCTCGTATTAAACAAAGTGTTGTTAAAAAACCCGTGGGTCGTTATATCTGTTCCCGCCAAAAATGACACCATCATGTTAGGGAACGATGTCATCAAAGGTCATTTCTATATGATTCTGAACATGGTTTATTTGCTAAGTTTTTCGACCCTGTCTGATAGTACCGTGTTGGTTAAGTCCCGTCAGCACTTTTTACGACTGAGCTAGAAGCATCTAGAACTCCATGATATGTCAAGACTTCAAATAGGAACGATTAACCTAAAAACATTTTTCTGAAATAAAACTACTGAGGAATCTTTGTTGACAACGTCGGACTCTAGAAATCAAATATATTTTGATATTGCCCCTTTACAATTTGTCGGCTGGTAAACCTCGTTGTAGAAATGTACGTTTCTTGGGTAGTGTGGTCACGTGGTCGTGTGTAAGGCAACGTGGTTCAGATAGTGATGAAATGGAGGTAATGCTGACTGTGGTTTAATATAGATCAAGGAAATGATTGGCTAACGTGTGACCCTCAATATCCGGAAATAGATCCTGCCCCGCGTTGTGACGAATTTTTGTAGAAATCCAAATACACGACTGCAAAATTGGTTTCATTACAAACTATATATTATTATTATACGATATTCCTATAGCGCACATATATAACGCTGGTATTTTTTCCCTCGATCACTGGATGTCAATCTCAACGGCACAACGTGTTATCAATCTCAACTCCCTGGGGAGTATACAACTCTTGCAGCCACTAGGCGCACCGAGTTATTGTGGCTTTCTCATCCTAACGAGGTACCCATTCACAGCTGGGTGGACTGGGACACATAGTCACAGTACTTTGTCCAAGTTCACTGCACGTTGCTGTTCCCGCAACTAGGTGTTTGCACGTATTCATGTGGCCACCTTCTGGTCATATACCAACGGATTCGTGGGTTCTTTTAAGTGCACAGGGTTGTGCACTGTACACTAGGGGTTGTGACAACACTGAAAGAGTCTGCACACAAAGTTGACTCCAAGGTTTTACACCCGGTCACAGGTGGGCTCGATCCCGACACCTCAACCTCACTGGATCACTAGCCTGGCGCCTTAGCCAGCTCGCCCACCGCACCCCATAAACATATACGACATGGGAATATAATTCTTGTCAATTATGTGTCGTACTGTTTGACATTCGTTATAGTCCTCCAACATCCGTGGTGAGGTGGATATTGAGCGTCCAGCGAGACAACGGACGGTCCGTGGTTCGATCACCTGCTCTCAAACCAAAGGACATAAAGACACTGTTACCTTGACCCGTCCTCGGCATAGCGAATATGACAGGAACCTGGCGGGTCTGTGTCAATCGTATATGTCAGAGTGGGGTATCTGTGTTAATTTGGACTATACTGACTGACTGAGTTTGGTTTTACGCCGCTTTTAGCAATATTCCAGCAACATCACGGCGGGGGACACCAGAAATGGGCTTCACACATTGTACCCATGTGGGGATTCGAACCCGGGTCTTCGGCGTGACGAGCCAACGCTTTAACCACTAGGCTACCCCACCGCCCCAATTTGGACTATATGTACATCATTGGGCTAGCACGTGTGGACAAGCAAACTGAGACTCACGCATACACGCACGAACGCGACTTAAACCACATTTCACGTTCCAATCTAGTATTAATCTCTCGGAAGGGTAATAACAACATTTCACCTTCCAAGCTGGTATTAATCTCTCGGAAGGGTAATAACAACATTTCACCTTCCAAGCTGGTATTAATCTCTCGGAAGGGTAATAACAACATTTCACCTTCCAAGCTGGTATTAATCTCTCGGAAGGGTAATAACAACATTTCACCTTCCAAGCTGGTATTAATCTCTCGGAAGGGTAATAACAACATTTCACCTTCCAAGCTGGTATTAATCTCTCGGAAGGGTAATAACAACATTTCACCTTCCAAGCTGGTATTAATCTCTCGGACGGGTAATAACAACATTTCACCTTCCAAGCTGGTATTAATCTCTCGAAGGGTAATAACAACATTTCACCTTCCAAGCTGGTATTAAAGGGTAATCAACATCACCCTCCAAGGAAGGGTAATAACAACATTTCACCTTCCAAGCTGGTATTAATCTCTCGGAAGGGTAATAACAACATTTCACCTTCCAAGCTGGTATTAATCTCTCGGAAGGGTAATAACAACATTTCACCTTCCAAGCTGGTATTAATTTCTCGGAAGGGTAATAACAACATTTCACCTCCCAAGCTGGTATTAATTTCTCGGAAGGGTAATAACAACATTTCACCCTCCCAAGCTGGTATTAATCTCTCGGAAGGGTAATAACAACATTTCACCCTCCCAAGCTGGTATTAATCTCTCGGAAGGGTAATAACAACATTTCACCTCCCAAGCTGGTATTAATTTCTCGGAAGGGTAATAACAACATTTCACCTTCCAAGCTGGTATTAATTTCTCGGAAGGGTAATAACAACATTTCACCCTCCAAGCTGGTATTAATCTCTCGGAAGGGTAATAACAACATTTCACCCTCCAAGCTGGTATTAATTTCTCGGAAGGGTAATAACAACATTTCACCTCCCAAGCTGGTATTAATTTCTCGGAAGGGTAATAACAACATTTCACCCTCCAAGCTGGTATTAATCTCTCGGAAGGGTAATAACAACATTTCACCTTCCAAGCTGGTATTAATCTCTCGGAAGGGTAATAACAACATTTCACCTTCCAAGCTGGTATTAATCTCTCGGAAGGGTAATAACAACATTTCACCTTCCAAGCTGGTATTAATTTCTCGGAAGGGTAATAACAACATTTCACCTCCCAAGCTGGTATTAATTTCTCGGAAGGGTAATTACAACATTTTACCTCCCAAGCTGGTATTAATCTCTCGGAAGGGTAATAACAACATTTCACCCTCCAAGCTGGTATTAATTTCTCGGACGAGTAATAACAACATTTCACCTTCCAAGCTGGTATTAATCTCTCGGAAGGGTAATAACAACATTTCACCTTCCAAGCTGGTATTAATCTCTCGGAAGGGTAATAACAACATTTGTCAGCTTTCCCAATTATCTATTTTTAGCTGACGCCCGATGACGTAGAAAAACGTTGCCTTAGACGTCAGCAGAACAAGAACGCAGCAAGGCGCTTCAGGGCCAAGGAGAAGGTCAAGGGCAATCAATTACAACAGGTAACTAGATGAACAGGCTATTAAAGAATAAACAATACACAAGTTAGCAAGTAAATACCTATTTATTTATTTGTTTTCGCAGAAAATATCGAGGTTGGAAGAAGACAAAGTATCCTTGGAGGCATTGCGTGAAAATCTACGTCAAGAGAAGATCGGACTTGTTTCAAAGCTGAAGGAACACCTCGTGCAGTGCACAACTTTTGATGACGTATTTCACCATCATATCCTTTCACTTCACAGACAGCCTTCTGACGACACAATAAGCGACCATCCAACAGTATCGTGATGAAACTAAGGACTTTAATGTGCATGTCATGGACATTATATTACCATGACAATGGGACCATTGATACGTCATAAGTGACGTCATTTATCTGTTACGGTTGTGGGACATTTCCGCTTCGAATCCTGCCGGAAGTGGAATAAACATTTCTCTAACTTTCCCTCCAACGACCCTTTTGGGTGAAACCAACGTTACTCGATCTTAACACGTTTTACTGGAATACGCTTTCAGAGATATAAGACAATTCCATTTTAGCCTTGTGGTAGAACTGAGGATATTTATGAACTGTGATGAGTGAGTGAGTGGGTTGGGTTTAACACCCACTTGTACAGTATTCTCGATATATCACGGTGTGTCATGGTAACCCCCACGTGATGCAGAAAATTAGACATTTACCACGAACTGATGCTCAGCTGTTGTAAATGTTTTCATGTCATGGTGACCTAAAGTGTGGCAGTGTTACTTTAAACATACGTTCGAAATCAAGCAGTTTATCAATCAGAAAATCACTATCGACGAATGCTAACCGGAACCGGATGTATTTGCATATGTGTAAAACACGAAAATATCAACAAGCTGCTAAAACAACAGATGCATATCTTTATATTTGCCTATCATGATGCAGGGATATTCAGTTTGAAAGTGTTAACAGACACTTGTGTTGATATAGTACAGTTGCACTACAATATGTCAAATGACAGCGTTCACTGCACCGCTGTAAACCACTGGCTGTCAATGTGAAGGTCGGAAAACAAAGCGGTATGACATCCGGGTGCCTGGAGCTAAATGACGTGATTTGTCAGCCTGTGTTTGGGACACCTGTAGGTGTTGGAAGTATTTTATATCGTCTCGACGGGTGGTAAGGATAACGGAACCGATTCGTAAATGTACAGTTTCGAAATAAAAGAGGTTCGCGAGGAAATATGCGATTCATTTTGGTTTTAGTGATTACGCTGATACGGGTAATACTGTACGAGGCACCAAAGAGGTTGGTATGTTGGTTTGTTGTTTAACGCCGCACTCAGCAATATTCCAGCTATATGGGCGTTAGATCACTGCGTGGTTACCTTTTCAAAGAGAAAAGTCCTTGGAGAGGCAAGGGCAAGAAACTGATATTTGGCAATCGTATCATCAAGGTGTCGTGGGGTAGCCTAGCGGTTAAAGCATTCTCTCGTCACGCCGAAGTCCCGGGTTCGATTTCTTATATTGTGAAGCCCATTTCTGGTGTTCAGCACCGCAGTATTGCTGGAATACTGTGAAAACAGCGTAAAACCTTACCCATTATTATGCTTCCACACAAAAGAGACGAAAACTATTCTAGTGTTGGATTCGAACTCCCGACCAACGGACCTGGTAGCTATGGGACAATAATCTCTTTCAGTTGAAGCCTGAAACAGCTGGACACCTGTTTGTCCCTGGTTCCGCGAACTGAGTTTAGTATACTTTTGTAAAATAATATTATACAATAAAAATGCTGTTTTGTCCTCGTTTTGTGAGCAATCGTATTACCCCGGGCCACGCCGTAGGGAGAACACAGCGTGTAGCGCTGCACAGAACAGCAGAGAGAAGCGCGGGACAGCTGCAATGCATACGTGCATCCACCACGCCGTCAGTGTGCAGCTGCAGTTGAATGAAGAGTCAGAAAATCTCCCCCGCTGTCCTGTACATTCACAACACACTCCATTTCCACAGAAACAAATAACATGATATATTCCTGACTCTTAGAAGCATTAATACGTATTGTTCTCGTGGACATAATTAGTGCATACAAATGTTTTCTGTGTGACTCAACCCAGCCCGCCGTCCGTCTCTGCCGATGTGAAACAGAACAGATTCCTGGAGCGGTGCTATCACCTCGCTACTCTCTACAAAAAAACTTTCAGACAGAGTATATCAAATGGTCTACTTTATTTCACATGTTAGCATAATGGTTGGAATACAAGACCCCATTATCTGAAAAATACAGATAGATCCTTTACATAACCACCGTGATTCTAGTAAACCCGTATGGGATGAACCAAGCGATGTCTGTGTTTAAATGTTGAAAAGCTATAAACTCATACCGGTGAAGCTGTCCAACAAGATGCAAACAAATGATTTGTTTTTTTTGTTTTTTTATAATGGTGTAATATATGTAGTTTGTGGTATGTATTATGCTAATATCGGCATCGATGACGTGCGGCGGGGTCAGGGATGTGCCTGTTGCTGTGTAGTGTTGTCGGAGTGAGTCAGCTCCTCGGCTACACATATTCTGTGGAACACTTGGAGAAGGGTCCATGGCACCGTTACTATAAGCCCATTATTTATGTACACAAACGCTCTGCATACATCCCCTGCATTGCAGAGCACAACATTCCAACACCTTGTCCTCGTCTTACGACCTCGCTCACATGGGATGGTTATGCATGCTACAATGTTGTACAAACAATTTTCATAGTCTCAAAACAACATGTCTGTTTTTCCTCAGGACTCCCAATCGATATTCCTTTCAAGGAACGTGATTTACCAAATACATTTACATAAATGTTGCTCATAAAAAAATACGTGATATCACCTTTTATCATCCAATACTCTATCCCATAATGCAACTTATAAAGGACAACGACCCCAAACGAGATTTGTCCATTGTAATCACATGACATGTTCTACTTTGGATCTAAATTTTTATAAAAACGGTTTGAATTTTGATGAACATTCTTATTTCAAGAGCAAGTTTTATATCATACAATTCGGAGATACAAATTTACAACTGTCCATATTGTTCTGTTTCTAGATGGCTTAATGGTTTAACACTGCATACAACCTCTTGTATCTCGGGGTGGGGTGGGGCTGAAGGGGTGGGGGTTGGCTTGACACATTGTACCAATGTTTGTTTCCCTGTTACGGGATGGGCATGGGCATGGGCATGGGCATGGGCCCTGAATAGCAGGCACACAGTACTGCAGTTTATGCATGTTGAACAAAACATCTACAGTATAATCTCTGCAGAATTCCGGCTTTTAAGCTGAAGTTCAGGCGTTTGATGCTCATTACGTCAACCCTTGGTTTCCCTGGTCCAGGATCAACCGCCGTGAAGAACCTGTGATAGCATCTGATAGTGAATGACTTCATATCGCATCCGACTGACACACACTCATTTAAAATACGGGCGATTTGGCCTTTGGAAAATTCATTTGTTTCATGCAAAGAGATCGTTCGTGTGGGTTCGAATCCCAAATTTGAACTGAAGATGCTACCTGGCTTCGTTCGTGTTTTTAACACAAAAATGAAATCTGACTACAACCAGCATTACTTTTGGCTAATTTCTTCACAATGGGAGATGATGTGGCGTCATGGAGGTGGGACGCTCTGGAGCCGTTAAACCAGATTCTAGCACACTCTAGCCGTATCTCGGCCTGTTAGCTTAACGTGGGAGGGAGTGATGGGGTAGCCTAGTGGTTAAAGCGTTCGCTCGTCGCGCCAAAGACCCGAGTTCGATTCCCCACATGGGTAAAATGTGTGAAGCCCATTTCAGGTGTCCCCCGCCGTGATATTGCTGGAATATTGCTAACGTGGGGGGAAAACCCGTTGTTGCAGGTCTCAGCATTTACCTCTTGGACGACACACATGAGCACCCGTATGGTACAGACAAACCTAAAAATATAATTCAAACCCACGATCATAGGTTTCAGGTGCGTGCAAAGGACGCAACTCTGTACGACGAATTGCGGCGCCTGAGACGAGGGGCGCACCCGTGCAGTCTGATAAAAGGTAAAATCTGGAGTTATATACACACAATGTAAGTGCCACCCTGTGTTGGAGTCACTAATAAAGTCTATATGACGTCAGAATGATAGAGATGCAACCATTTTCTTGGAAAGGCATTATACATTACGTCATCAACGATGTCAAAAAAATGGGGTCTTCATTTTTAAATCAATTTCTCAAGCATAACTACTTATTCAGATGACATCAACACTGCTGTGAATAGGTGAGGTGAGGTGAGGTGAGGTGAGGTGAAATGGGGTTTAACGTCGCACTTAAGAATATTTCGCTCATATGGCGACGTGCATGCGTATGTGTATGTGTATGTGAGGCTGCTTGTACTAGCCCAGAGTGAAGCTGGTTTTATAGTGCTAGCCCACTGAGATACCATGCCGCAGTGAAGCATCAATACCCCACTCAGACACATTATACTGACTCAGAGCCGACCAGTCCTTGTTGTACCCATTAATGCCGAGCGCCAGGTAGGGACCAACAAGTACCATATTTTAACGTCTTTTGGTATGACGCGGCCGTGGATCGAACCCCGCGACCTTCCGCTCTCCGGGCGGACGCTCTAACCACTACACCACTGAGGCGGTTAGTAATAACTGCTGTGAATAATTATTGCGTTTCGCGTGGTTTTGTTGTCACCTCCTATTTTGAACGGGAGTTAGTAGTAAGTGTACCATACTTTCTTTCAGTCTGGAAATACGAAATGTCTCACACTTGCTTCGTACTGTCATGCTGGGTTTACGAACTGCCGATATTTGTATTTCCATAAATTCTGATACGAGTTTATTATTAATAAATTTCAAAGTGAGTAGATGAAAACAAATCCGTACACAACACATGTTTTTGTTTGTGTTTCGTTTAACGCCGCACCCAGTTAAGACGGCAGTCTGTAAATAATCGTGTCTGGACCGGACCATCCAGTGATTGGCATCATATTCTATGCAATGCGGATACCATTCTTTGCATCTACCATGTCGCTGAACCTGATCGCCATATCCGTCTCTTACTACAAGCATGGGTTGCTGAAGACCAATTCTAACCCGGATCTTCCCTGGTACACAGCACATACAACTCACTTAATCTACTTAAAAAAGGCGATTTCTCGTACCCCACATCACAGTTGAAATATGGTTACATGACAACAGTAATGATTGCTTGTGACGTCATCAATTAGTCTGATAAAAAACAATGCGTATTAGTATAACACACGTTAAAACCTTTCACTCTGAAGGAGTGAGTGAGTGAGTGAGTGAGTATGGTTTTACGCCGCTTTTAGCAAAATTCCAGCAATATCCAGGCGTGTAGCAAGCCAGTTTTTTCGTGTAAGCCCGATAGGTTCCAAAGTTTTATATTTAGATAGTATTGAGGGCTTGCCCAACCTTTTTAGCAACAATCATGTGTAAGCCTGGGCTTTTTTTAATAATGGTAGCTATGCCCCTGAAATTGGCTTCACACATTGTACCCACGTGGGGAATCGAACCCGGGTCTTCGGCGTGACGAGCGAACGCTTTAACCACTAGGCTACCCCACCGCCTCCACTCTGTATGAACGTCAATAACCTACTTAATTGAACAGTGTGGATGATAGTTGTCTTCACGCGCCGTTAATTGCCTGATAAACAATAGTTAAATATCACAACAAATCCCATTTAATTGGTGAATTTCTCTCGTCCAGAGTTTATATCTGTAGTATCTGAATGAGTGAGTGAGTGACTTAACGAGATTGGTGACACCAGCGTGCACGTGTATGATTCTAACAGCAAGAACAGCCAATTGTGTGAATTGCTCGAACCAGTTGCAGGCGGATCCGACACGACGCGGAGCAGTTCTTGACGGCGAGATCCACCATACCAACGACTGGCGATAAATCTCAGTAACTGGCAAACACATAAAAAGGCGAAATCGCAAGTGACTAAAACGGTTGTTGAACTGTTAAAACATATTCATACCAGCTGAACTGTATATAATAGTCCCATTGTTAAAACACGCAACAATGTATGCTGACGCGCAGTTAGCTGAGTTGGTGAGTTTAAAATTAAGCCCATCCTTGATACTAAAGTAACGATATATATAATTTTACAAACCTAAATATCTTGATTTCATCAAGATATTTCTACTATGTTTATTATTGATTCCTACATGTATTCAACAAAAAAAATTCCACATTCATATTTTCAAATCCACGCAGAGATCTTCAACGTCAGGTGCATGTATACTCGAATACTCAATGTCCGGCATACAGACAGAATATGCCTTCATGTTTGAATCCGGCGACCGATTGAAGCCCAAAGCGATCAATTGATTACATGTTTAACTATAAGTGGTCCCAGTTAACATCAAGCCGAAATTGTCAGAAATTCCGTCTCATCCCAATAATATTGTATGTAGATATATGTCCCAACACTGCATAAGGTTTGGAGAAGTAGCCCTCCCCTGTCAGGACCTACTCCCTCGGTATAGGCTATGGGCTAGTCTGGTGACTTGGTACTGCAGTTGGCTAGTGGTGATTCACTCTCCCGTCGTCCTGTTGGTCAATACCTCTTGCAGCTAAGCGGCGTGAGTCACCACAGAGCGGGGGTAACCGCTACTGCCCAGCGCAATTTATGCGTCATAGTGCGTAAGTTATGTCAGAACGAGTTACCTCCCTTGTATCAGTCTCAAGACACTTGACGGCAGCCGTCGATCGATACACGCGGTACAATGCTGCCGGATGCCACTGCTATGCTGCAACATTAGGTCAATGAAATAACTTGCTCCAGCGTGTTACTCAATCTCTATAATGTTTTAATATAATTTTTCTCTCTGAATATATTTTCTAGATTTGAAAACTAAATTCAGCGTTAGTTTCATTGAGAGTATTTTATAATATTGAAATTGATTAAATCAACTTGATAGCCAATGATTACATTCGGTTGGCCGCCATTACGTCAGCATTTATTATAAATCCACGAGAATCATGCAATGTTTACATTCATGAAAAATAATTTCTTTTAAATTTTGGTCATGTTGCAGTTATTTAAATGTTAGGTAAGACTAAAATGTCATACTGAAACTAAATATGAATTTCTTTAGTTTTCTTTGATTACGTGCAAAGCACTTCGGTTCGAGATTATCGTAAAACATAACATTGGTTCATATTTTTTCTCATCAGTTGTGGTAGCGTTGCTTACCTACAACCGTTCCGAACATGGACAGCTCGGACAGCCAAACAGACGATTTGTTTATGCCTGAGTTTTTGAATGAGACTTTTTGTAATGTAAATGATGAGGGACTTGTGCAGGCGACAGTGGAAGTACTCAAGACTGGTCGTCTAACGCCTCTCATTAAGGAAGAACTAAAATGTACCATCCAAACCAGGCGGTTGTCAGAAGGCAAGGACGAGTTACAGGTGGAATTCAACAGCCCCGAAAAAACATCTGTAAGTTCAAAATCATTTCTCTCATACTTATTTGATCCGATAAACATTAACATACATTTTGCATTTTAAATTTTACAGTTTTTAAAATTCTTAAGTGCGAATTTGAATGAAACATGCATGTGGTTGCAGCGTGCCTGTGTGCAGCGATCAGCTGTTTGTCTGAGGTCAAGCATGTTTTTAGCCGTAGCGTCCAGACGGTTACACGTGTGTGTGGTGCATGCACGTCCATGTGCACTAGACGCCATTAGTAGCATACACGCGTGGTTTTGGTCGCGCTAACTTTATTGATTTTAGTTCCTGCTGATCGGCTTGAGTCTGTGTCTGAAATCAGCTGATATAGACACACATGGGGAGTGGGGGGTTCTACCTGCACGATGCACGAGCAGAAAATCAATGGTTAGGCAGAAACGACGGCAAGGCGGGCGAGGGCAACATGAGCTAGTGTGACGGGATTGCACGCGAGTCGGCGTCGGTTGTGGGGAGTTACACGTAAAATTGATCAATACACGCGGCAAACATGGTAGCATCATATCTGCCAGACCCATACCGGATACCTACAGACAGACGGACAGTCGTGTCAGTAATGGAAAACGTTAATATACATGTCATTTGGAAGCAGTGTGTTGGAACATGTGCGACCTGTGACCAGAAACAACCGGAAAAATGAAGTCTAGCTGGAAACACGTTGCAATTAGCATTGCCTTCAAGTGGTAGCGACTGGTCCAAACCAGTTCTTCGGGCGTGTTTTGGTTGTGCAAAGATTTGCTGCCATCATGAAATAGTCAGCACGTGATATTTTTGTGATGTTGAATAACAATGTTAATACCCAACATAAGCAAAGGATAAAAGTTTTCTGTGCGCGTTTGGTTGTACATGACCATCATGACGGTTTTCATTGATGCCAATGGGTTTCTCGACAGTTGGTTACATGTTAATAACAAGACCGGTCTGAACCTGTTGTATCCGTCTCATTAGGACTAACTATCTGGTCTCATTGTGACCTTTCACATCCCTACTCATACGATAACATTGATAAAATTGAAATGCAATTAGCGATTTGCCAGGTTTGATTTGACTCTGTTAAGCAAAAACAATTAATGCGACTTTAACTGGGGAAACGTGTAACAGTTTTCTGAACTGTAAAAAAAGTTCAAAATTTGCATTGTCTGTTGTGAAACATGGTGTTTCAATTGAAGATCACTCAGATTTGATATAATTATCATAAACTGAAGATTGTCCAAAGCATGCATTGTCTCTTCGCCCGCGCGTCAACACGACCTGCCAACACGTGGGAGACAATTCAATGGCGATGGGAGGCTGCAGTGTTATCACATGCACAAGGCAGCTGTTTTGTTGATTTGCGCGAGCCGTGATGTAAATTAAGTTAAATCCTAACACGCGAATACTGACTAGACAGACATACCGACAAAATAGACGACATTACAAAAAAATTCATATACTGCACCACCGAAAGAGAATTTAGCTGTCGTTTATCCACGTTTCTTCTGTAGATGGTGAAGATGGTTGATGTGATCATAGTGATTAGATGAATAGTTATGGCGAACGTGGACGAAATGTATGCATTGTAGTGTGAATGTTCAGAGCGAGTTTCTTTTTTTCTGGTACCATAATTCATTATTGGTATAACACTTTATTAAATTCTTCGGCCCCGTTCTTCATTGCCTATACAGTAGATATTTCACAGGCAACAGACCTACTTGTGAAAGTCACATTCCGTTGATACAAGTCTGTCGCTACCTGGCTTGTTGATCCCACTCTGTTTATATGCTCTTTATCTGTCATTTACGATATCTGATGACATTCATTCCTTTTAAATGTCAATGTCACCCTCAATCAAAATGAGGGAATACTGGGCGTGACGTCACAATGACTGATCGTCCCCTTGGGAGAGGATTTGATGGGGTGGTTGGAGGCGAGGGTTTGGCGGGGTGGGGGGGAGGTGGGAGGGTTTGATGGCTGGGGAAGGTGGGGAGGAAGGTTGGATGGGGCGGGAGGGATTGATGGCTGGGTGGATGGTGGAGAGGGTTGGATGGGATGGGATGGTGGCGGGAGGGTTGGGTGGGTGGTTTGGGAGGGATTGATGGCTGGGAGGGTCGGTGTCGACTTTGGTTGATCCCGAACTACAAATAGTCAGTGTTTTTTAGAATACAAAACAGGTAGAACATGATGTCACAGAGATGAAGTCACACCGCAGAGGTATGTTACGAAAACATTCACCTTGAAAATCAATGAGCCTTTTAAAGGGGATTGTTTTTTTAATTTCACTTATTTTATTATTTTATCTTATTTTTGTTTCAAATGGGGGTAGGTGGTAGTCACACACATTAGTAGATTCACTTTCACTCTAAAACACACAACTGAAGCTGATACCTACTCACATATCTATTCAAATTAAAAGTGTAAAATTAAAATTTAGTGTACTGAATGAACACAACATGATCAATTAATAAATGGGTTTTTAGTTGCAATTGAACATTTTTTATTATTTTAAAACATTTCACAGTATACACAACTGTTAAACATAATTTTACATGTTACCCGGTTACCTGGTAACCAATTAACATCAGACTCGATATTGTAGAACACAAGCTTCAGTTATTTGGATGGCAACGACCGTCAACACATTACGCCATGTTTTTTTACTATGACGTGTCCCGTAGTGTCTGTAGGTGTCAGTCTTGCACACTCACAGTATGCGTGTCTACTTAGCAGCGTTACTTAGTTTCAGACTGGCCCGCACTGCCTCTTCACCGGTCGGGCAGAAAGAGTCAGGTAACTCTAGGTAAACGTAACCTTGTGTAAAGGAAGTTTACTGTTTGTTTTTTAGTCCTTCGTAATACAGAGTCTACGACTTTTAATTGCTATCTCTTAAGCTTCCTAAATAGACCTAGTGTTGTAATGTTTTATGCTAATCTAAATAATGCCAAATACGGAAGCGAATCCGGAATCGAACTCTTGGAGTAAAATATTCATGTTGATGGATTCCTGTAGAAGCGATATATGTACATGTATGTAACTTTCTCATCTGCAATGAATATATATATAAGCATATACTGGCATGCGACCTTTTATCAAAGATGTGTGTTTTGTCAAAACTTCTGCAATAAACGACTGCCGATTGTTGGTTTCTTCAGTTACGTCCTGAGGAAGTTGAGCGCCAACATCGGCGGAGGGAGCAGAACCGACGCGCCGCCATGAAGTTCCGCCAAAAGAAAAAGGACCGAACAGAAATCCTTTTACGGGTGACTAAAGATTATCATATATTTTATCATGGAGTTAAACATAGTTGGCCAATCGTCATTTTCTATCACATGTGTTATCATTGTTATTTTTATCATCATTATTATTATTGCTGTTATGATATCGATGTGGGTACGGACCACGTAATCATCGCACGTGTTGTAATTACAACAACGTGTGTTAACTTTGATTTCATGGATGGAGCACCATTTATCAAGTAGGGTTAGCAAGTGAATGAAATAGCATAGGTGCTGCTAAATGGCCTGTTAATACTCGAGTCTGGACAGTCAAACCGGTGATTGAAGGTATGAGCATAGATGGTCATCGTTGGGTAACGAAGACAAACAGTCGGTAACCAATCAAATCCTATTGTAACCAGTCTTTATGTCGTTTTGGGCGGCACGGGACGTTATATTCCCGAAATGTGCTAATGAGGACAAACAGATGGCAATGTGGGTAGTCTGACAGCGTCACTGACGAAATGAACTCATTCCTAAGTAAGCAGTAAACAAGTCATGTTGGAAAATGTCCACAATACCGCAAGCTTATCATAAAACCCGATTAAAATGGGAATCGAGTGGCCAGACTAACTGCAGGTCATCGTGCCCGGAGGGCATGACCCGTCATTCATGCTTTCAGTCACCGGTTTTTCTTGTTCCAGAGTTGATTGTTTATAGACCGTTTTATTGTTTACCAAAGTATTGTCGAGTTCTTCGTTACATCAGATTCACTTACCGAAAGTACCTTTTGAACAGTTCATTCCTAGTGTGATTAGATACTGTAATCAGAGATCCCGAACGCTGAAGTTCCGAATTCGACATAAATACTTTTCTGGTTTATAAACATGTGCATATTTCTCTGTGCTTCATTTAATACAAATCTGTTTTGTCTTCAGGAGACTCAGAAGCTTCAGAACGCCAACACGACTCTTCGCGACGAGATAGACCGACTAGTGAGAGAGCGCAACCACCTCACGGAGGTTCTCAGTGCCCACCAGCCTAGGTGTAGCCTTGGACTCGCCACTGTCATTTTCCACGAACCTCCCTGAGCACGCTCGGATCTCCTCGGTGGTTTCCGCTCAGACTCGGGAGTTCCCGGAAACGTCCGAGGAGATCCTAACCTATGCGTTCTCTCATGTTCCATCTTGTTCATCTAGTCATTTGTGATCATTTCCATTGCTTGTTTCCGTTGCTCAAGAGGACCAATGTTTGCTGCAGACCGCTGGACGACACAAGCTTCCGCTGTTTCTATCAGTTCTGTTATCAAATAATTTATGCACAAATGTGCTCAAAATGGCAGCAAATATAGAATTAAACGATTATTTACAAAATATGAAAAATGCCTCCTGTTTTATTTCAATAAACTAATCACCTAAAATTATTTCGCGAAATTAAACGTTAACGTCATTGTATCTTCCTGTGAAGTCGGTAGGGTAGCCTAGTGGTTAAAGCGTTCGCTCATCACGCCGAAGACCCGGGTTTGATTCCCCACATGGTACAATGTGTGAAGCCCATTTCAGGTGTCCTCGGCCTTGATATTGTTGGAATACTGTTAAAAGCGGTGTAAAACCATACTCACTCACTCAGTCCTGTGACGCCGTGATCACACATGGCTAAGGCGCCGCTATTCGCTATTCGCTATTCGCTGTGCACGGTGGCCTCCCTTGGTTGCACCAGAAACCTATGATTCAGTGTTCGTCCCTAATATGTTTCTAGGTTTGCTTGGTGGTTTGACCGGTGTGGTAAGCCTGAGACCTGCAACACTTACGGCTTTCCACCCACTTTAGTTGACACAGCGTGACACACCGTGACATAACTGGGGAGACTGTTCAAAGCCGGATAAAAACTAACAGACTTATGTCTGTATTTCTGAGCAGTGTTCAAGTGAAGAAACAGTTTGATGCATGCGTGTGCGTCCCTTCATAAACGGCGACTTCTGTATATGACTCCGAATTAATGAGACACCTTCGTAGTTGATAGTTGATCGTTGAGAGACGTATGTCTTTAAGCTTGACGTAACATGATGTGCGCAATTATGTCTTTGGCATAAAGGAAGACGCGGTGAATGGCTTTGACGGCAACGAATGTTAATTCAGACGTTTCTTTTTGCCCAATCAATACACTATGTGTTGGTACGTGTTTGTAACCCTTCGCCGAGAGGGTGACGAGGTATGCATTACGCTGCGTATGAGATCGGGGTGCTTTAGGTGTGTATACACCTTGAACAAAGGATAAGTATCTCTGCTTTAAGAGAGAAGTTTATCTGAATTATAATCATAATTGCAAAGCTTTACATAAGTCTTTAGGGGGGTAACTTCAGTCTTTTGCGAACGCGTGACAACGCGTGTTATTTACTTTACGACGTCGTCGACGGCACTGTTGCATATGTATCGTGTACAAACGGAAGCTTCATGTATACGTCATTATTGGAATAACTTACTTCAACCGCGACACCTAAAACTATACCTCCAGTGTCTAACGGAACCCTCAATAGGGAGCTTGGCGTGAATACTGTGCGTATAAAACGACCGGTGTAGAGATCAGTGAGCATTACTATAGTCTGTTTGCAGTGAAAACGTACCGATGGATTTCAATTTAAACAAAAATGTAAATCAAATAAAGTGAAATTAAGATTGCGAATCCTCATAATTTTTTTACCTTGCCGTTTGAACGTTTAAATCTGAGAATTTCATTCAAATTAGGATAAAAATTGTTTAACAAACGATCATAGTTTCAAATCGTTATTATTGGTTTGTATTACACGGGGGTATGCACATTAAATGAAACACCGAGAACAAGAGAGTAAGTCTAAATTAACGCTCATCACGTACCGCACGTGCATTTGTTTCACTGTTCCAACTACTGCGCTTATCCCTTTGTAATACAAACCAGTAATAGCGATTTGAAACTATGATCGTTTGTTAAACAACTTTTATCTTAAGTTGAAAAAAATTCTGAATTATAGTGAGCATTACTCCGTAGCAGCGTAACTAAGTCCTACGTAACATGTGTATATGACTGCGAACTATTCCTCTAGCTCTAGTGAGGTATATATACTTACCAAAGTGGTTAACGTCGTAGACCTGTATCACTGTGGGCTTTCTCCCCAATCAAGCTGACACGTCGTAGCTGGAATTATGTCCAAGTCTGCGTTAAACTAACTCACTCACTCTAGCGCAAAGAGCGACATGTGCCTTAGTCTCGGAGAAACGATCTTTTACCTGGTTTGGTGCCAACGTACATGCAAACGTGCAAATGAATCAGGAGCATCATTAAAGACATGCGTATTGGAGATGAATCTGAGACGGGAATGTAGGTATTTTACGTAGCGTAGGAATCAGGTTAATGCGTATCAGAAGAAGAGTTCATGTAAAGGGGCACGGCACGGCCTTTCAGCTCAAGTAAGTGCGCATGATTTACAATAACATATCTGAGTGAGTGAGGTTTTACGCCGCTTTTAGCAACAACTCTAGCAATATCACGGCGGGGAACGCCAGAATATGGCTTCACACATTGTACCCATGTAGGGATTCGAACCCGGGTCTGTGGCGTAATACTTTAACCTTTAGGCTAACCCATCGCTCCACAGCAACACCTGTAGTTACAGGCTCTGTGTCAAGAGCAGCCTGTAACTAGACGGGTACAGAGTGTTGTCTCATTGGTTGGCAAGCCCAGTAGACCGTGCTTTCGCCACTTAGCAAGTCAATGTTCGACTCCCCTCATGTTTACCAAGTTTAAAGTTCATCTTGCCCAATGATTTGCATATCAAAGAAAGTAAGTGCTCTACATCCAATATACGGTAAACCCAGTTTTGTGGTATCCATCTTAGAGGGTCTTTAAAAGCACCGTAACTTTATACTCACTCACTCCTCTGTGCTATTGCCGAAGTGTAGTTAAATCTATGACGTTTACCCGCCCACTGATGACGGTTATATCTGGTTGAGGGAGTACGTCAAGTTGTGGATGTCAGTCCCGGCTAAGCCGAGTTCACAGATCCTAGTAAATGATACCCCGAACTACTCAATCATATGTAAGGACTCAATTATCCATTATCCACTCCTGAGCTTTATGTATTGCTGTAGATCGACCAGCAATGAGCGCAGAGAACAAGGCCTAGTGGACAACAGGGCCATTTGTAGCAGTTCATTGGCTACCTGGCTGTGTGTGCATGGCCCGAGGACACTATGTTTCCAGGTACATGAGGGTTAACGTTATGTAACTTCTCAGAAGGAATTAGCTCAAGGGTTTAAATATACTTTGGATAATGCCCGCCTATCAAGACAATGAGTATGAACATGTAATGTACAGCTGTGTTTGGGTCGGTTTGATACGATTGGGATGATATCGACAGGATAACTGGTGGTAAGTACAGCTGTTGTGGATGTGTGAGTGAGTGAGTTTAGGCTTACGCCGCACTCAGCAATATTCCAGCTATATGGCGGCGGTCTGTAAATGAGTCTGGACCAGACAATCCAGTGATCAACAGCATGAGCATCGATCTACGCAGTTGGGATACGATGACAAGTGTCAACCAAGTCAGCGATCCTGACCATCCGATCACGTTAGTCGCCACTTTCGACAAGCATGGGTTACTGCAGAACAATTCTGACCCGGATCTTCACGGGTTGTTGTGATTGAGTGACTTTAGTTTTACGCCTCTTTTAGCAATATTTCAGCAATATCAAGGCGGGGGACACAAGAAATGGGCTTCACTCATTGTGACCATGTGTGATATCGAACCCGGGTCTTCAGAGTGACGAGCGAACGCTTTAACCACTAGGCCACCCCGACGCCCGGGTTGCTGTTGATGTGAAGCATTTACATGGGGATGGGTTCGGGAGGCTGGTGGTTCGCACGGCAGCGTTTACATATCGGGCTGTATCTTTAGAAGAAAAAAGGACCTCTTTTGTACATCATCATCGATATATTTCTCCAGGACACCATCATCGATGTGTGGTTCACAATCATTGAGGGGCGGTGGGGTAGCTTAGTGGTTAAAGCGTTCGCTCGTCACGCCGAACACCCGGGTTCGATTCCCCACATGGTCACAATGTGTGAAGCCCATTTCTGGTGTTCCCTGCCGTGATATTGCTGGAATATTGCTAAAACGGTGTTTACTGCGTAAAACTCACTCATGAGCTATGATACATGGCCCTTCATCGATACATTTAATTGGAAAACCATCGTCATTGATTGACATGAGCGACTTCGTTGACACAAGAGAGTACAATCTGTACATGACTCAAAGACACCTTCCTAGATACATGGCCACGAACACCATCTATACATGACCCATGGACACCATCATCTATACATGACCCACGGACACCATCATCTATACATGACCCACGGACACCATCATCTATACATGACCCACGGACACCATCATCTATACATGACTCACGGACACCATCATCTATACATGACTCACGGACACCATCATTTATACATGACTCACGGACACCATCATCTATACATGACCCACGGACACCATCATCTATACATGACTCACGGACACCATCATCTATACATGACTTACGGACACCACCATCTATACATGACTCACGGACACCACCATCTATACATGACCTACGGACACCACCATTTATACATGACTTACGGACACCATCATCTGTACATGACTCACGAACACCATTATCTATACATGACCCACGGACACCATCATCTATACATGATTTAAGGACACCATCATCTGTACATGACTCACGGACACCATCATCTATACATGACTCACGGACACCATCATCTATACATGACCAACGGACACCATGAACTATACACGACTCACGAACACCAACATCTAAACATGACCCATGGACACCATCATCTCTGCATGACCTACGGACACCATCATCTATACATGACACACGGACACCAACATCTAAGCATGACCCATGGACACGATCATCTATGCATCACCCACGGACAACATAATCTATGCATGATTCACGGACACCATCATCTATACATGACTTACGGACACCCTCATCTATACATGACCAACAGACACTATCATATATACATGACCCACAGACACCATAATCTATACATGACTTACGGACACCTCCATCTATGAATGACCCATGGACACCATCATCTGTACATGACCTACGGACACCATCATCTATACTTGACCTACGGACACAACATCTATACATGACATTAGGACACCATCATCTATGCATGACCCATGGACACCATCATCTATACATGGCTCAAGGACACCACCATCTATACATGATTTACGGACACCATCATCTGTACATGGCTCACGGACACCATCATCTATACATGACACGAACACCATCATCTATACATG